AGGCTCGAGGGCCACAATGGGTTCTTAAACTGGACCGGAGGGCCGGGACAAAAGCATGGATGGAGTATTTGTGTGAACTAATATAAATTCAAAGTAAACATCATTACATAAAAGGGTACGGTCTTTTTTTTCAATAGTTTTATTCATTTCAAACAGGCCGGATCCGGCCCGCGGGCCGTAGTTTGCCCATGGCTGCCTAATCACAGGCCAGGCCTAGGGGCTGTACCGCACAAGGATTTCGTGCACTGGGCCTCTAGTTTTATTATAATGAAGAGTACCTCTTTGAACCTCCTTGTGAACATCTCCTGGTGAACGTAGATGTGAACATTTCTCTGGGGTCTTGCTGAGTCTGAGGGTGTGTGCTCATCTGTATCCTTACAGGAATGTTGCCATGTTGCCAAGTTGCTGTATTCACTTGTATCTTTACAGGGCAAATGTTTACTGAGCACTTCCTATGTGTCAAGCCCTATGTGACAATGGACATGGAGGAGCCATCTCCTTTAAACTGAGAAGCAGACGGAAAGGGGGAAAGAACCTGGGAAATATAAATAGGTAATTACCACGAATTTGTGGAGAATCTATGGAATCTATGGGAAAAACTTAATAGAATCTTACCTTGGGACAGATGGTGGGTGGTGGGAAGACATCTCTGTCCTAGCTAGGTCCCTATGAAATGTGATCGTGGAGCTTGGGACTGACAGTCAGTAGGCTCAGGTGGTGGTCCTCATTCTGCCTCAAATTCATTGTGTGACTTTGGCCAAGTGTCTTCCCTGCTCTGGTCCCAGGTTTCTCCTCAATATGTGGGTTAGGGAGGCAAGATAAAGTCTCAATCTTTCTCTTCTGCCTACAGTCTCGAGATCTAGGCTGGAAGACTAAATGTATCACATTACCCCCCGAAGCCCTGATTTTCTCCTTCTCAATATGGGCTTGCTAATCCCTGCTGCTGGTCCATCTCCCAAAACTGCCAGGAATACGCTAGATTGCCCAGTGTTGTCCTTCTAAGTGTTGTTCTTTCTTAGGTGCATTCCTTTCAGGGGGCAAAGATGCTCCCTGTATTCCCTCCCAGCTTATAGCTTATAGCTCCTTTGCTCCTCCCATTTCCCAAACTCTGTTCCTACTCCAAGTCAGTCATCTCTGCATATAAGGTATAAATATAAAAACTAAATAAACCCATGGTAAGCCCCAGAACTCAAAATATACTTCTTCAGTTAGCCTCACTGTAGGCCTTGACTACTTCTACCCCATAATGTATGGCCTGGGGTCACAGGAAAAGCAAGAGAAGTGGCTGGAAGGAGAAAAGCCAGAACAGCTCACATTTTTTGGATGCTGTATATGTTCTGTGCCATGCTAAGTTCTCTGCAGCCTTTATCACTTTATTGAAACTTCTACGCAATCTTACCCAGATTAGCAAATTCAGGCACTGAGAAGTCATGAACTTGCCCATGTGCTTTTAGTTTTGGCTTTGAACCATGTTAATAGCTTATATACTGAAATTGAAATTAAGTCAGAAACTTAAATATTGAAATTTAAATTTAAATACAAACAGAAATAAACTAATTTTGCTAAGACACAGAGTACTTTGACTCTAGTTCTTCAGTCTCTGAAATCAATAAAAATATATTATAAAAAAAAAGAATTGCAGTGCTAAAAAATGTACATATTTTTATTTAAAAAATTTTTAATTGATTTTTAGAAAGAGAGGGAGATGGAAAGAGAGAAACATTGATTAGCTGACTCCTGCACACCTCCTGCTGGAGATTGAGCCCACAATCTGGGCATGTGCCCTGACTGGGAATCGAACCAGCAGCCTCTAGGTGCATGGGACAAGGCTCCAAAAGGCACACCAGCCAGAGCATATATTTTTAAAAATTAGATTTTTAAAAACTGATATTAGAGAGAGGAAAAGGGAAGGAGAGAAAGAGGGAGAGAGGGAGAGAGGGAGAGAGGGAGAGGGAGAGAGAGAGAGAGAGACAGAGAGAGAGAGAGAGAGAGAGAAACACTGACGTGAGAGAAATACATCGATTGGTTGCCTCCCTTATGCACCCTGACCAGAAATTGAACTTGCAACATAGGTGCAGGTAATTGGACCTGTGACCTTCTGGTCCACAGGACAATGCTCTAACCCAGCGGTCACTAACGGGTGGTCCGTGAGGTTCGAAAGGTTGGCGACTGCTGGTTTAAGGAAACCTTTGGAGCAGCGGTCGCCAACTGAGCCACACCAGCCAGGGCAAAAATGTATACATTTTTTAAATCATGAATTCATGATGATCTTCAATTCCAAATCAATGCCATAGTGTTCTTCCTCTCATCCCATTCCACATTCATAGTTCTTTTCTCCCATTTGAGAACCCTGATTTTCTAAACATCAACATTACATTTACTCATTTACTCAATACTACAATAATCACAGAATAGTTTTGGAACTCATACGATTACCATTACCCACAACAAACTGTGAACCTGTTGATGTCTGTCATTTCCCATCAAAATAAAATCCCACCTTTTGGGATTCTGACTAGAATTGCATTGACTCAAATAGAGCATTATTAGGAGAACTGAGATTACTATATTGCATCTACACTCAGAGATACAGAGAACAGATTGGTGCCTGCCAGAGTAGGAGGATAAGAGGGAGAAATGGGTGAAGGGGATCAAAAGCATAGTAACTAATAATACTGTATCGCATATTTGAAAGTTGTTAAGAATAGTTCTTCAAAGTTCCCATTACAAGAAAAAAAAATTAGCTATGTATATTGCCAGACATTAACTAGACCTATCATGATCATTTCTCAACATATACAAATATCAAATCATTGTTGTACACCTGAAACTAGTATAATGTTATACGTCAATTATGTCTCAATAAAAGGAAGTTATTCGATAGCACAAAAAATTGTTTTTCAAAAAAAAAAGTAATTGTAAAATATTTGTGTCACCCCCAGAAGAACTGTAAAGGCTTCAAAGATAGTCCATATTCCTGGTTTATCTTGAGTCATGGCCCACCATCTCCCAGTTTGAACAAGTTATATAGGATATACCTTAGAAGAGACACAAACAATTGATACTGGTACAAAGTCGAGGCAAATTCTCTCATCCTAAGAGGAACTCTTCAAGATACTTCAGAGGACATCTCCCCTTAAATATCCAAGGGGCATCTCAATCCAACAAGTCCTAATTAACAACCCTCAAAGTTGCTCTTTTTCCTAAGATCCATAGGAGTGAATGGCAGCACCACTAATCCAGATGTACCCAGCAGGCTCTTCCCACTCCTTCCTCCCATCCGTTCAGTTGCCAAATGCCAGTCCTACCTTTACAGTCTTGAATCCACTCACTTCTCTTAGAATCATCACTTTTCATCTAGTCCAGTTCAACAACTTTCTAAATGTCCCCTCTGCTTTGAACCTTCTATTTCCAGCTGCAAATCCATTCCCGGAAATGCAGTGGTGAAGGGCAAGAACCAAGGAGTTGTATGTGCCTCAATTCACTAGCTACGCGAACTTGAACAATTTTCTTAAGCTCTCAACCTGTTTCGTCACTGCTGAAATATGAAGGATGACACCTGCCTCTAATGGTTGATAGAAAGATTAAAGATTGGCGCTCAATAAAGGCTTTTGAATTAAGTAAACTTAAGAATCTGGGTCTCTACGGTTTCTAGAACTAGAATCTTTCAGCACTCAACAGCGATTCCCGCCATTTCCCCGTAGGGAGGGGCGTCGGGACTGGTCTCTGCGCTCCGTCCCAGCCCACGTTCCAGGGCCTAGCAAACGCCGGACTGACCGGGAAGGACTCCAGCTTCGACATACAGTCCAAGGGCACGTGCCGAAGAACCACGGACGCCTGTGAGCCGCGCTCTAGCCCTCGGCAACCACAGCCCGGTGCACCTGGGGCCCGACGGAAGCGGAGCGCGCCCTCTCCGCGCATGCGCCGCAGCGCCGCGACCCAGGGGGCGGTGCCCATCGGAGGGGCGTGACAGTCCTCACTGAGCAAGCGCGCGGGTTGGTCCCTGCCCAGGAGGGGGGGTGGCCTAGAGACGCAAACAGGTGAGGCCCGAGCCCTTCCACAAAGGAACGCAGCCTCCAGACCAGCGGGCGGGCGGCTCCTCACCCCTGTTCCGTTCCGTCCTCAGCAAAGGCCCCGCTAGCAGGAAAGTCGCACAGTCCCGCAGACACAGCGTCCTCGCCGCGGGTCCAAAGCGCCCGGGGCAGCTCCGCTTGACGCCGGAAGCTGGGCCCAGGACCGCAACGGAAGTCCCGCCTCCCCCCGTCCTTCTCCGCCCCGTCCGTCCTGGGTTGCCCTCCAGTCTCGGACACCCAGTACCGGGCCTAGTTCTGCTCTTTCACCACTATCGAAAAGAACGAGAGACTGTTCCGGAGACCCATTGTTTTTCAAGGGCGCTGCCACGATGCAAGAGGAAGTACAAAGCCCCCTGCCTTCGCTCGGCAAATGTTTCCCATTCCGCTGCACCGTGGTGGAACCAAGTTTTATTGGGTAATTTCTTTGCTGCAACCCTCTCCACATTCCCTAGGGGTAACTCAGAAGTCATCTCCTAGATAGTTTCCTTGAAACACCCAATCTCTGAGGTCATTTTCTGCTTTGCTACTTGAATACTGACACTGCAATTAACCACTACCTCAGGTAGCGTCCCTCTTTTCCTGAATTAGCTACCCCAAAAGCTGACATGGTCGTTGCCCACCCTGCCTCTGCTCAGAGAGCGCTACCACAGGCCTTGCCTGTCACCTCCAGGGAAGCAATACTATATATATAGTATTTTGGGACACTTAGGACCACCTTTCTCACTGGGAGTCTGTACAGTACTTGTCTTCCTTAGATCCAAATGAACTATATACTTGACTGCAGGGGTGGTCATCATATGCATCCTCTATGGAAATGACTAAATGAAAAAAATCCCGACATAATAGGACACCCTGGTTTACACATACGGAACCTTTCAACAAAACTGCTCTGTCCGTGACTGGAAGCTCAGATGCTGCTAGAACACCATCCGACACCCCTGCGCGGTGCCGCAGTCAGCCATGTTGCAGCTATAACCCTTTCTGGTCCCTGGACTAGGGGCCCAATGCTTTTCCTCCCCACTGGCCTGGAGGTTGTTTTTGTCTTATTCACGTTTGTTAAGTCTGTTTCTGTGTAAGGGCCCACTTGGTTGAAGGAAAAGAAACCTGTTCCTAGTTTCCCTTTCAGAGCTAGGACCCTGTTTTTGACCAGATTAAAACACCACTGAAGGATTTTAAGCAGAATCAGTAAAGGGATGGGACCTGCCCTAGCCGGTTTGGCTCAGTGGATAGAGGGTCCTGAGTTCAATTCTGGTCAAGGGCACCTACCACGGTTGCAGGTTCAATCCCTGGTCCCTGGTCAAGGTGCATGCTTAAGGCAACCAAACGATGTGTCTCACATCCATGTTTCTCTTTGTCTCTCCCTTCCCTTCCACTCTCTTTATAAAAAATCAATGGGAAAATATCCTTCTTGATCATTAATACCCTTAGATATTTGCCCATTCTGTGTCTACAGCATAGTTTCACAATATCTGACATATCATGACCAATCAGGAGCTAAGGAAATTTTAGCAAAAATTAATTCCATTTGGCATGACATCAAAATTTTATTATTGGTAATAACCTTTAAACTAAATCAATGAAAAAGTGATTTAGCCCTAGCTGGTTTGCTCAGTGGGTAGAGTGTTGGCCTGAGGACTGAAACGTCCCAGGTTCAATTCCAGCAAGGGCACATGCTTGGGTTGCAGGCTTGATCCCCAGTAGGGGGCGTGCAGGAGGCAGCCAGTCAATGATTCTTATCATTGATGTGTCTATCTCCCTCTCTCCCCTCCTCTCCAAAATCAATAAAAAATAGATATTTTTAAAAAGTGATTTATTTCACCACAGATATTTTACTTCAGAACATCTCTTTGGTTGAGGGACATCTAGAATCAAGTGTTAGTGACCTGAAAAAGATCTATATACATCACTTGGAGCAGACTTCTGAAACGGTTATTGACCAGTTTTACAGATGAAGCAAGCCAAAACTGAGGTCTTAGGAAGTTTAAGTCATCTGATAAAAGGTTCTGCTTGGCATACTCAAAATATCCCTCCTCCTCCTGTTCTCAAATATATTGCTTTTTCTCGACATTTTATGAGTATGTACAACGCACAAGTGATTACATATAACTAAAGAGCACAGATCATTTTGCCTACTCTATATAAAGCAGGGATTTTATTTTATTTTTTTTTTTTTTTAAATACATTTTATTGATTTTTTACAGAGAGGAAGGGAGAGAGATAGAGAGTTAGAAACATCGATGAGAGAGAAACATCGATCAGCTGCCTCCTGCACATCTCCTACTGGGAATGTGCCTGCAACCAAGGTACATGCCCTTGACCGGAATCGAACCTGGGACCTTTGAGTCCGCAGGCCGACGCTCTATCCACTGAGCCAAACCGGTTTCGGCAAAGCAGGGATTTTAAAACAATACTTTTAAGCCATGTTTTTTGAAAACTTAGGGTTTTATTAGGTTATAAATTTGGTAAATATTTATAGAGTCCTAGTTGGGTGGCTGGGGTGGAGCATCATCCTGTAAACCAAAAGGTTGTGGGAGTAAGGAGGAGGCTGAACAATGGGCCTTTGGATCCCATCCCTGCTTCAACTAAAAATAAATAGACCTGCTTTCATCTGTTTTAGATAATGGAGCACTAGTTTTATATTATTACTCCTTTGAAAACTTAGTTCTGCTATTAGCAATCCAAGTTTGAAACCATTTAAGAATTAGGGTATAACCCTAGCTGGTTTAGCTCAGTGGATAGAGCATAGGTCTGCAGACTGAAGGGTCCTGGGTTTGATTCTGGTCAAGGGCACATGCCAGGGTTGCGAGCTTGATTCCCAGTATGGGGCATGCAGGAGGCAGCCGATCAGTGATTTTCTCATCATTGATGTTTCTATCTCTCCCTTTCTCTCTGAAATCAATATATATATATATATTTTTTAAAGTATTAGGTTATAAATTTGGTAAATATTTATAGAGTCCTAGTTGGGTGGCTGGGGTGGAGCATCATCCTGTAAACCAAAAGGTTGTGGGTTGGATCCCCAGCCGAGGCATGTGGAGAGGCAATGAATTGATGTCTCTCTCACACTTCCACTAAAACTAATGAACATTTCCTAGAGCAAGGATTAAAACAATTAAAACATTTATAGACTGGAGCCAGTCTTGTTCATGATGGGTCAGAGGCAAACAGATGCAGGGTCAGAATACATAGCACCATAAATTGAACATAAAAGTTGCTCATGAGTCTTCTTGATGTATGTCATCAATTCACTGCAGAAACTGAACTGGATACTTGGAGGCCAGAATGATCACAGATTGTTAATTCTGAGAATGAGTGAGGAGGATGTGGGCAGGCAAGCAGGGCACTTAAATTACTGCCTACTAAAAAGATACTATGGCTACGAAATCACAACTGTCCTGGGGAAACCAGGGTTAACCTGTGAAAGCTTGCAGGCACATTACAGTTAGAAATGTATACGTGGCTTCCAGAGATGAAATACTTTGATACTCAGGGCTTCACTTTCCCCAGAACTGCTTTGTTATAGAATACTCAGCTCCTGCCCTGCTGTGCCTGTTCCCTAATGGGAGTTTGCACTTTTGCAGTATCTGACACTAAATGAGCATGGTGTGGTGCAATGTCTAACATGAAAATGGCATCAGGACACTCTCTTTTCTTTTTAAAATTCTGTATGGCTCATAGCTGTTGGAGAAATGGGAGTACCCTCAATTAGCTGCTGCTTTTGAATCTGGTCAGTGGCTTACACTCAGTCAGACTCATGCATGAGCTCTTTGTAAGGTCAAAAGAACATTGCCTTTTAGTGCCGAATATGTTACCACATGAACTAAGTAATCAACTGTGAATCCCTGGTACTTTTCTTTGGTTCTGCTACAAGCCTGGGGCCGAGAGATAATCCATCTGTAACTCAGGGATGGCCAACAGGCATCCAATACTTGGTCCAGTTTTAGAAGTAAATTAAGTCATAGGAGTCTTGATGTCAGTTAAATTCACTGAAGAAAAAAATGGCATGGCTGGTGTGGCTCAGTTGTTGAGCATTGACCTATGAACCGGGAGGACAAGGTTTTGATTCCTGGTCAGGGCACATGCCCCGGTTGCACAGTCAATCCCCAATAGGGGGCATGCAGGAGGCAGCCGATCAATGATTCTCTCTCATTGATGTTTCTATCTCCCTCCCTCTCCCTTCCTCTCTGAAATCAGTAAAAATATATATTTTTAAAAAGTGGATTGTAAATGTTTACTTTCATTAAAACTGTGCTTAGTGATTTTACAGAAAACATATATAAGAAGTGTTACACACAAAATGAGATTAATTTCATTAGCACCTGACAGGTATACACTAAGGTAAAAAAACACATGCTTGACTTAGAAATTTTACTTTATTTACAAATGTTGTGCTATAAACAAAGATGCAATTCTACCCCTCTTAAATATTATAACCCGTAATTTCTAGAAAAAACATTTACATAGTTTTATTTCTGCATAAAACTGTATTATGGGATGAGTGAAATACAGAATGGTCTAAGACATCAAAACAAAACTTATCCAGCATGAATGCCCTAGTGACAGATGGAAATAAGAATTAAGACTCACACTCCTTAGTGCAGAGGTCCTCAAACTTTTTAAACAGGGGGCCAGTTCACTGTGCCTCAGACATTCCACACATGCGCACTGCGGACCCGGGACAGTCGGCTGCTAAGCAGGACATGCAGGGGTGGCAAAAACACCCGGCGGGCCGGATAAGTGTTGTGTTTTCGGCGGGCCGCATGTGGCCCTCTGGCCGCAGTTTGAGGACGCCTGCCTTAATATATTACTCCAAGAAATGGAAACACGGTACTTTTGGGACAGTAAATACTTCTTACATAGATAAATCTTCTTACATAGTATAGTTTATAATTGTGATTGTTTAGGATTGCCCTTAGAGGCTAATATTTATGCTGATTTCAAAAAATAAGTCACCATTGTAAAAAGGGTCTATACTTTTCTACCAATGAAAATATGTAGATACTAATCTGCTCTCATCATTCAGACCAATTACTAAAATAAGAAATGCATGAAGATAATTTAAAACAAAAACACAATCGCTATGTGACTGACTTACAAAATTATAATTCTCCCTAAAGTCAGACCGTATTGCTCCTCGATAGTTACTATGAATTTGAATTTTTCATAGCCAAGACAATATAGACAAAATATTTAACCAGAGTTCAAAATAAAATCATCCCAATTATCCATTTATCACTTTATATATAGTAATTAGTTTTTAAATCCTTTAAGTTTTATCTAGGAGGATAATCACTCTCTGAGCATAACTAAGTCACAATGAACTTCAAAAGTTAAAAAAAATCATCCCTGAGAAGTGAGAGAAGCTCTAAAAACACAGAAGTGACAGTCTTGCACCCTTTGAACAATCTTAACCATAGCACAAACTTTTATTAACAGTCATCAATCAAATGTATTCCAATCCTGGATAGTTACTACCTCTGACGATCTGATCTTTTTATAATGAAACTATAAGTGCAGCATTTAAAAAAAATCAGATAAATAGGGACTCTCGTTTTATTATCATGTTTACATTTTTGTCAAGGCCAGGGACAGCCAGCTAAGGTATGTATATTCCAATAAAGACGAAGTAATAACTTCCGCTGACATCTCTTCTTCTGAATCTCCATTTTCCCCATTGATCTTCACCCAAATAGTAAAAGCAATACAATTGCAATTGAGTTTACTATTATCAATGGCACTGCAAAAAAAAAAAAAAGTTTGTTATTATAAAGAAAATATCAGAAAAAAAACGAAGTCATAGTTACTAGCATCCAAGAAGGTCAGTAATACCTAACAACAGGTCATCATAATCAAATTACAAATACTTGTAACAGGAACATTCAAACATGCACTGGATTATAAACTCCAAAACTTAATTTAAAGAGGGCTTGTGTGATGGGGGTAAGAGTCACACTGATACAAGTAGATTAATATGAAAACATCTGTGGATGATGCTAGTGTAGCTCTAGGAACACAGAAGCACACTGGACTTAGGCAGAAATAGACCCATATGGCTACCAGTGATATTTGACATCAGAAATACGTACAAAGATGATGCCGTAGTTTCATCACCAAAGTAAGAACTTATCATTATATTCAAAGTTGTGATTAAAGCAGCTTAAAAAAGGAGGAAGACAGACAAAGAGAGACCCTAGTTTTAATGGTTTTCAATAAAAGGTTTTGAACTCTTCTTTATTGAGGTACTCTAAAACATTACTAAAAGAATAGCAAATGTGGGATCCTTATTTTTCTCCTGAAAGCCTGATGGGACTCTAGATGACTTTACCACTTGGAAGCAACAGAATTTCCAAAAATATCATTGCCTTTCAACTCTGAGGTAACATACAAACAGGTTACACCACTGAGCATTCAATTTGCACCAACTAGCTTAGAAATAAGAGGCCAAGAAAGAAACCAGTAACTTTTAAGCAATAAAGCCAGGTTAATGAGAAAAAAATTTCCTGCTACAAAGGTGGTATGTGATAGTATTCACACCCAGAAGTTTGCTACTTAAATCAAACCACAAAATTAAAACTTAAGAGTGTTCTACTAGTTTTTCTTCTTACCTCTCATTACGGTTCTTACAGATCGAATAAGGTTCATTAGCTGAGATTTAATTCCTGGCTCCTCTCCGAATCCACCAATTCCCTGGTCTGTTCCCCAGCCAACTGTATAATATAAAAACGATTAGCAGTGTTAAAATGTATTATGCCCTTGCCTTGCTCCTTCATTAGTCATTTTCTAAAAGATTATTTGAGCCTTTCTTAAAGACATAAAATATAAAGTCATATGACTTAAAAACATTACTAAGGGAAATGCTTTACAGTATTTTTTTACTTTTGATAAGCAACAAAAACTCATTTCATTTCCACTGTGGTGTTATACATTATACTATAGTCTAATAAATTATTCCATGGTAAAGATGAACACTGTAACACCCTGACTGATTTTTTTTTACTCCTTTTTTAAACTAACAAGATATTTTTCAAGTCAGAACTGAAAAAGCAGCGTCAAATTGAAAAATTAATTAGATCAATTCAGAATTTATGAAGCCCAACATTATTATTGGTATAACAACACTGTACTAGTAACGGAGATTCACCATCTACATTACATAGGGGAAATTTTAACCTAAACCTCGTCACAGCCTGGTCAGGCCTTCAGAGCATGCCCTATCATGCCAGCAGGGGCACATCTCTTTTTTTTTCTTTCCCCTTGATCATTCTTCATTTCTCAGATTTGAGGTGAGGAATTTAGCTCACTATCCTACTTACTTTCTGTAAATGAGTCTTTCACCTTTTTCTACATCATTTCCCTGATATTATAAATCATTTTTTCTTTACCTGCTAGTTCCTTTTTTATTGCCTGACACATTCTCCTGAAGACTTACATGTCCTCATTTCTACAATGTGTCTTTCTCTTGTCCTCATTTCAGGTTCACCCATCATATCTCATAACTCGTTTTTTAAAAATCTCAAATGACTTAATTCCTGACATGTTAACCCTTAAACTTGACAGAGAACAAGTTTTTATTTTATACTGATACCAATATAATGAAACAAGATTTCACTTTGCTTAATGATTCTTTGTTTTGGCAGCCCCAGCTGACTAATATAGTTTCATGTTTCTTTTGTATTACTCATAATTCATACTGGATATAATAAATACTTGTCTGATTTTTTTAAATGTGTGGTTTAAAAAAAAGTTTTACTGAGATACACTCACCTAACATCCAGTTCACACATTTCAAATGCACGATTCAGTGGTTTAAATATGTTCAGAGTTGTACAACACTCAATTTTAGAACATTTTTATCACTCCCAAAAGAAGCCCTGTACCCATTAGCAACCACTTCCCATCCCCTCAGACCCCTCTAGCACTAAGCAACCACTAATCTGCTTTCTGTTTCTATATAGTTGCCTATCCCCAACATTTCATATAAATGAAATCATGATATGCAGTCTTTTATGACTAACTTCTTTCACTTAGCATAATGATCTCAAGGTTCAGCCACGTCGCATGTCAATATTTCATTCCTTTTTATTAATAAACTAGGGGCCCAGTGCACGAAATTCGTGCACTGGGTGGGGGGTGAGGGGGAGTGTCCCTCAGCCCAGCCTGCCCCCTTTCACATACTGGGAGCCCTCAGGCATTAACCCCCATCAATATCCAATCACAGGATCGGCCCCTTGCCCAGGCCTGACGCCTCTGCCAGAGGCGTCAGGCCTGGGCAGGGGATCCTCATTTCCCCCCATCACTGGTTCTGCCCCCAGCCCAGGCCTGATGCCTCTGGCCCAGGCATCAGGCCTGGGCAGGGGACCCCCCGCCCCCCAC